CAAAGTCTGAAGAACAGAATAAAGCAGAATAAGAGCAAAAGTCTTTGCCTTTCTTTCCTCCTAATAGAAGGCCATTTGTGGTCTTTTATTTACTGTCAAATAATGTCAGCCTATGAGAGAATGGAGGACCATGAGTATGAGTGCCTGGGAAAGGGCCACCATCCTGCCCCAGGAGAGTGCTCAATGCCTTCTGGCTTAGCCACATCACCAGGCACAAGCCCTTAGCTTATGAAATATTTAATAATATATTTGCATGGGAGAAGGAAATGTGTTGGAAAGGTGGTCTGAAGAGGTATTGCTTCTCTCACGGACTTCTAGACTACAAACCATTCCGGCTAATGAATTTAGGAAAAAGAAGTAGAAAACAAAAACATTGTGTTTTTCTCAGATGCTTGGAGGGAAGCTGTTTTCTTGGTTGGAGAGTTTTTCTTCCAATTAAGATGAATGCAGAGACTAATTATGAAGAACCCAGATAAACTAAGAATCTACTATAATGTCCTTTTAAAAATAAGGAAATCCATGTTGGAAGAAATAGGCTGTAGTTGGGGCTGAGGCTAGTGATCAAGTGTCTTGTGTCATTGACATTGAGATGTCAAGCTGCAGAACACATCGGCTTACTATTGGGCATTCTAGAATGTGTGTGTGTATCTTCTATCAAAGACTGATATCTCCAAGAAGCCCGGGTCAGCAGGTATAACGATTATGCTACAAACGTACCAGCATACTATGAATTGATGCTGTGTAGGTTTTTTTTTCTTCAGACCTACCCTTCTGAATAACGTTCTCATCCTGAAAGCAAACAACTTCTAATATTGGATTCTTGATTCAGGAAGCCTCTCTAAATATGAATGTATCCTTTAAAAATAATGCTCACCAACTCATTTCTGCAGCTGGTGATATTAGCCAATGCAGGATATGAGAAGCATTAGGGAATTAACTAGCCCTGAACACTGAACACTTAGAACCAAGTCTTCAAATCCACACCAAAGCCTGGCTCAGGGGGAGGGAACCTTTTAGATAGACTCCTAACTGAATGTCGGGTTAACCTGCAACCACCCTGAGCGGCCGGGGCAAAGGTGTGTCTCAATGCTTTGTGGTGTACCTGGAACTCCACAGCTGGAGGATTAGAAGTTGTTTGCTCACTCTGTACAAAACAAGAGGTGCAAAGGAAGTTCAACTGCAACTGAAAGATGACTCTTCATTTGTAACCGGCTGGTTATGCTTGAGGAGCCCGGTGTATTTATAGTTGCTCAGAGCCAAATGCAAATGTTCCTCAGCCTCCTTGATCATCCACCGCCACATTCCTGTTTATCCTGCTGTTTGTCACCACGAAATCTAAACAAAAGTAAACTTTGTCTTCCTAAGTTTTTTCCTGGTACTGAAAGAGCCACGCTTGAGCCTACCCGGGTGTTTCCCGTGGCTGGTGCCTGGGGGCTGTAATTGCAGAAGTGTAACCTGGCGGTTATACCACGTGGTGCCAGAAACTGCCAGCTTCCTGCCAGACGACCTCTGGCAGCTGGTGGCTCCGGTGCCCCATCTGCGGTCACTGGTCACCGTCTCTACAGGAGCAGTTCTCTGATATTCCCAGGGCAAAAGAGAGGTGCATGTTGACAGGGTCAAGTCAAAGCTTGGAACCCTGAGTCCTGCCATTGCCCTGTCTCGGGAGTGGCTTGATCAGGTGTTAACTGGCCAGAGTTTGCCCTTGTTTTTTGTTTTTACGAAAAGAACTATTTGAAGGAGGCGCATTTCTTACCTTTAAGTTAGCTCAGAGCACATTTCCTGCTTAAAAAAAAAAAAATACAGCCACTGTCTAACCAAGGATGCAGAGTGTTTTGCCCAGGTCATGGTCTGCAAGAACTGTGGATGACATTGCAGTGGTGACCTCAGAGAAAGGCCGGGACTTATGACCTAGCTTCTTGGCTCAGAGGACTTGGGTTGTGCAAGGTCCCTGTGGTTGAGGACATAGATGTTAGAGGTGCTCAGAGTGGGGCTGGGTCCTCTCTCTAGACTCAGTTTCCTCATCTGTAAAGTGGTTTCTCATCATAAGGTGGCTGTGAGGAGCTCATGAGCTAATGGCCCTCGTTAATGATAACTATACTTTGTGCTGCCCTCACCAACCCAGGCCCCTGCCTGAGAGCGTTCCTGTAAGGGAGGTGCTACTGTGCTCCTCCCCGGCTCACAGAAGGAAAGCTGCGGCACCAAAAGACAGAAACTTGTCCAAAGCCCACACAATTCCTGAGTGGCAGACCTGGGATTTGAACCTCTGCCTGACTGTGGAGTTCTCATCCTTGCTCTGGACAAACTGCCTCCTGTAAGACAGACTCAAGGTGGAGTCACGTGGGAAGCAGTCACTAAATATCAGAAAGGGGTGCAGAGCAGTTTGCCCAGGCCGGAAGCCGTGTTCTCACCTCCACTAGCTATGCTGGAAGGCACAGGTCTCCCTTTAAGGGTCCCTTGGTATCTGTGGACTCCATGGGGGTTGGTTTCAGGATCCCCATGGCTATAACAGTGCACAAATAAATGCTCCAGTCCTCACATAAAATGGTAGAGTACTTGTGCAGAATCTACGCACATCCTCGAGCAGGCTTCGCACATCTCTGGGTTATTCATCCAACCTGATCAAATGTAAATGCTATATAGGTAGATGTGATATTGCATTTTTTAGGGAAGAATGACAAGGAAAAAAAAAAGCCTGTATGTGTTCATTGCAGATTGTTTTCCCTGAGTATTTTAAGCCTGTGGTTGTTTGAAAACGCAGATATGGAATAGGAGAATTTGGAAGTCCTAACTACTTATTAAAGGCTCAGCCTCTTCTCTGTGGTCATAGTAGGTTAGGACAACCAGAGTCTGGGAGGGTGTCAAGCTCAAAGTCAGCATCGGGATGGTCAAGTGGCCACCAGGCTGCGGTTACACTGGGCTAAGCCAGTGTTAGGCTGTGGGGGGAGCTCTTGGAGGGAGTGTGTGAATGGGGTTGTGGTTGTGACAGGGAGGAAGTGCTAGGCCTGTGTGTGTGCGCGCGC